CATTACATAACAACTTAACATAAAACAATATATAAAATAACACAGCATACAGTATAACATAATATAACACGACAACATCACATTTAACATAGCATATGACATGACATAACATAACATAACATGTAACATATAAAACATATGAAATAACATTTAACATGACATAACATCACATATAACAACATCAAACATAATATTCAACATGACATAACATATAGCATAGCATATAACATATAACATAACAAATAACATATAACATAACATTTAACATAACATTCAACATGACATAACATATAACATAGCATATAACATATAACATAACAAATAACATATAACATAACATTTAACATAACATTCAACATGACATAACATATAACATAGCATATAACATGATATAACATAACAAATAACATATAACATAACATAGCATACCATAACAGTACATAACATAACATATAACAATAAGATATAACATGACACAACATATAATATAACATAAAATATAACAACATAACATAACATGAATCATTTTAAAGTAGCAAAATAAAGATACATTTTCGAGGGAACAAAACATTTAGCAAAAATCCAAGTCTTTATACAGTATATCCAAAAGAGAGAGAGAGAGAGACGTGTGGTCATGCAGAGCATCTCTGTTTCTGTTCTTTTAGTTGTTGCAATGTGAAGATCTGCATTGTATTGAACTGAATAAATCTGCTCGACCTTCAGCTCCACATCCACTCAGCTGGAGATCAGCAGATGGTAAAACAGCATCTTCACAAATGCAGCATCTTCTGCTAACTAAAAAAAAATGAACAGCAGAGTCCAGAGACCTTGATCTAAGCTTAGAAAAAAAGCATTATCTAAAACTTGATATGCAGTACACTGAGTTTACCACTCTGTTAGACACCTATTGGTTGTATTGTATTTGGATATAGCAGTATTATATTGTCTTTATTCTTCATGTATGAGTGGATGCAGCTACTGGAATCTGTTTGGCTCTAGACATCCGCTTTTATACACTTATACTGACTCTTAGACATTGAAAACAGCTCGTTATGCTGCTTGATGTTGCAAACGGACATTTTTTAATTGAATTAATCTATCGCAATATCATAGTCTAAAAACTACAGTGACCAAAAGTAACCTTAAACAGTCACTTAATGTAGTCTACAAGCTCAAAGCTAAAGCATTATATCACAGATTAAGATGCATTAGACTTATTCTATCACGCTATTTATAGTCATGCATCATTTTTTTTAAATTATTTTTGGACGAAATACTATTTGATAGCACTAGTAAAATATAGTAACCTTGTACAGACGATGAACCGGATCATCAAGCTCCAAAACTAAGTTTTAAATCAAAGATTGACATGCATTACACTGATTTTACCACACTTAAAGGCTGCTCATATATACGCTTGCATCAGTTTTGTTGTATTGCATATAACTGTATAGCAATCAAGCGCAACTGTTAATGCTAAAACACTATCAGTGACAGCATCTGATCATGATTTGCTTCAGCAGGGATTTCCTGTTCAACGGGAAGCTGATAGGAAATGAAACGCGTCAGATAATCAGATTATGTAGGTGAAAATGTAGTTCCCTCACATCTGTGGTGAAATGCAATGATTTCTATGAAAGAACAGATCGTTTTTATTTATGAATGGGTAAAATATTTATAAAATAAAAAAGGAAACAAAAATGTAATAGGAAAAAATAAAATCAATAAAAAAGACACCAAAATGCTTAAAATTAAATCAAATTATATAAAAAGACAAATGTAAGTATTTGGTAAGGTAAAATGTATAAGTGATGAAAAAATAATGAAGTAATACGATAACAATAATAATACATGAAAAGGGTAATCAGGAGAAATGCTTTCCTTATTTTTTTTTTGGCCAATGTCTAAGTTTATCATTTAAGACTACAAAGGTTTATCGCAATATTTAACTCACTTTCACTCCAAATGATGTAATTTAAATATTCTTTTGAAATATGTCCATAGTTAAAATAATATTTAATAAACAAATAAATAAATAAATATTACAAAAACACATAAAACTAAAAAGTCAACCTTTTTTCCTTAATATAGAATACCATTAAATTAAAATAAAGTAAATAATATAAAATAAAATAATTCCCCAGAGATAGGTTGCAGCTAGAAGGGCATCCGCTGCGTAAAACATATGCTGGTTAAGTTGGTGGTCCATTCCGCTGTGGTGACCCCAGATTAATAAATGGACTGAGCCGAAAAGAAAATGAATGAATGAAAATTACCTTAAATTAAATTATTCATTCATACATTTTCTTGTCAGCTTAGTCCCTTTATTCATCCGGGGTCGCCACAGCGGAATGAACCGCCAACTTATCCAGCAAGTTTTTACGCAGCGGATGCCCTTCCAGCCTCAACCCATCTCTGGGAAACATCCACACTCACATTCTCACACATACTAATACACTACGGACAGTTTAGCCCTACCCAATTCACCTGTACCACATGTCTTTGGACTGTGGGGGAAACCGGAGCACCCGGAGGAAACCCACGCGAACGCAGGGAGAACATGCAAACTCCACAAAGAAATGCCAACTGATCCGCGATTCAAACCAGCGACCCATCGACCTTCTTGCTGTGAGGCGACAGCACTAGCTACTGCACCACTCCTTCGCCCTAAATTAAATTAAAACAATAAAAACTTAAATTATGCATTATGTCAGAAAAATAAAAAAGAGAAAACCTCTTATTTTTATTGCTAATGCGGAAGGTAAAAATCAAACCTCTGATGCAAATATATTTTAAAATACTTTCACCCTTTCCCAGTCTCTCCTGTTGTCTGGGTCTCTGTTGTGTTCCATGCTTATGTTTGCGTCATGTGACTTCCCAGTGTGTTCTACTAAGTAAAGGGCGCCGATGTGATCATGCACACCAACGCCAGGCGTAAAGGCGTAATTTTTAAAAAACGCTTCAAGCTTGTTTTTTTGTTTTGATGAGCTGTGTCAAAACCTTCTCCACCAATCAGATTAGCACTTTCTTGTGCACAGAGCTGCTGAAGTTACAGTAAACAGCACTTTGAGGCACTCAAGTGCAAAACTGCTAATGTGAGCGCACATTGAAGAAGATGCCCAGAAGATATATAAACGTGAAGCTGCTTATTGCTTTGGTGAACAATAATCATTTCTTCATCGCTAGAGCTGCTGCTTGAACCATCCGTGCTTGTTCGAATCGCAAGTAACTTTAACAAAAAGCATGGCTGCGTCCGAAACCGCAAACTTCCATACTATATAGTACGCTAAAATCATAGAATTAAAAAATCAGTATGTGAGCCGAGTAGTATGTCCGAATTCATAAGCTGCGTCCCAAATGGCACACTATACACTATGCACTCATGCACTATGTACTTATGCACTTACACACTCAACAGGATAGTATATGTATGTAGTGTCGTCCCAAATGGCACACTTATGTATTTTTATTAAGCGGAAATTCAAACCGTTTCCCTGATGACGTTTGACGGTTGCCAAATCAGTGAAATAAACGACTGAATTATCAAGTAATACCTGCCGTGAGTATTGCTGCATTCACCATCGGGAGGCGCTATAATCACTCTCACAGGAGAATTTTGCTTTCACCATCCAAAATAAATAAAGTTATTCAACATGTGCGTCCGATAGCTCCGCCTCTTCCGCTACGTAAGCAAACCTGCGGTCGTTGAGTGTGTGAAGTGTCCATCATTACACACTTCATTTACCGGCTGAATGAGTGATCATCCGGGTAATTAAAGTGCACTTATTATTTTGAGAGTTTTCAATGTGAACACACTACTTACACTATTTATACTACAAAATGGCGTAAAATAGTGCATAAGTATGCGATTTGGGACGCAGCAATAGAATTCGAAAATCAGTATGCGAGAAGTACCCGGATGACTTGCTACTTCCGGCGAGATTCGGGAGTGCACATCCCATGCATGCTGCGCTTTCCCATGATGCCCAGTGAGAGAATTCATGAATGAGAGTAAAGCGACGCAACTG